GTCATTTAGAGACGCATGGGGGGAGAGGCATTTAAAAGTGCATTGTATGAGTAAATTATATGTAATTAATAGTTGATGAGTGCTCAAAGTACCGTTTAATATGATTGCAGGAACTCGGCGCAGAAATGTTCTTGACATGAGCAAGAGAAGTCTATGGAGTCATTTTACCCAAAAGAATAGGTGAGTTGACATGACAGTAAAGGGCCAACGCTGGTCCAATTTGTTTCTGTACAGACACTATGAGGAGCTTCCTTTCATGTGCATCAAAGGGTGATTCTTGATTTTTTTATAGTGCCTTAGTTCTTTGTTGTCGATTTCAATCCTCCTCTGTCAAAATCCAGGCTGGTTTGTTATCACTGAAAATGTATTTTAAAAATCTTGGCAATTTGGAAAATTGCTGGAATTGGTTTGGATTGGTGGGGCAGACTCCCTTTTCACATGCTCTGTCTAAATATCATGGTGCCGACCCACTACAGCAGAGTTCTTGGCCAGTTTGCTTAGGTAGCCTACCCGCCCTTAGTTAGAGAGACCAGCTCTTATAAAACTCAAGTTTCTGTTGACAGGGGTGGTTTCTGACAGAAACAAAGGTAGTTTTGTAGTGTCTGGTTCACCCCTGTCGATTCAAATACTCCTCCATCGAAATCCGGACCCATCAATTTATAGCCTTTGTAAATTTTGCCAAAAATGAAAAAAATCGAAAATCGCTGGAAATGGTTAGGATTGGTTTGCCAGCACCCTCTTACTAACTCTCCGTCAAAATTTCACGTCGCAGGCCCATTTTAAGCGAGTTACGCCCGTTTTTCTTGTACCGACTCGCCTGCTAGGTAGGCAGCCCGTTGTACGCTGCCCGCCAGATTGGAAAGACAACCCTGTCTGGACAGGGGTGGTTTCTGGCGGAACCAAAAGTAGTTTTGTGGTTCCCTGGTTCACCCCTGTCGGTTCGACTACTTTTCCGTCAAAATCCGGACCCATCAATTTTCGCTAAAAATGGGAAGGCTATAAGCCTTTGTAAATTTGGCCAAGAATGAAAAAAATAAAAATCGCTGGAAATGACCGGGATTGGTCCGACAGAACCCCCTTTCAATCTCTCAGTCGAAATTTTACGCCACCAAGCCATTATAAGTGAGTTACGCCTGTTCTTTCTTGGACCGGCTCGCCTGCTAGGTAGGCAGCCC